AAGAAGAAGAAGAAGAAGAAGAAGAAGAAGAAGAAGAAGAAGAAGAAGAAGAACAACAACAACAACAACAACAAGATTGAACAATGTGTTAAAACGTATATGTTGAACATCGGAATATAGACAAAAGAATATTATATGTTGAATGTTGAACAATATTATGAGAAAGGCAAACGAAACAGGGGTTGACTCAGAGAAAGTTACATGTATATGGAAAACCTGAACAGATCGATGTTGAGATTTTTTTGAGGCATTCGAAAGTAAAAATGAATGAAGAACGCCGTGCTCACCAATGTGTGTTTCAGATCTGGCACTTTATGATGGTGGTGGGAAAAATTTATGCTTTGAACATTTGACTTTATGATGAATGCTTGTATTATAGAAAATTTGACCATGTGAGAAAAACTTTGTTTGGAACATTGACCAAAGTATGAAAACTTACCTATTATTACTTGTGTGGCAGGCAGCGGGTATTGCTAGACTGTGCTTGTTACTTGTTCTAAACCTTTGCCTGGAGACCCTATTTATACACACCGTGTCTCTGCTCGCACCGCCCCCCCCCCCACCAAAACATAAACACGTTATGAAAGTTGGAAGTTATATAAAATCGAAAAGTTTGCACAATAGGATAGAGGTTGAATCTTGTGCTGGTCAGTGACATGTGAGTCGGACCCCCAAGGTGTGTAGGTGGCCACCTGTCCGGGGGCAGTCGAGGGGGGTCTTGGATGTGTGTGTGTGTGTGTGTGTGTGTGTGTGTGTGTGTGTGTGTGTGTGTGTGTGTGTGTGTGCATGTGTGTGTATGTATTGGGGGGGGGGTGTCCAGGTTTATGTCTTTGGTCATTTGTTAATAACAGGTAAAATTTGAAACATAACTTGAATAGATTCTGCAGGTGATTGGAGGGCGCCGCTAGTTGGTTCTACTACTTCTTTCTTCCTCTGTTTTGTGCGTTTTACGCAGTTATTTGAATAGTTCAGGAAAGAGAATACTGATATCGAACTTGAGTAGAAAATTAAACTTCATGTAAATCTTTATAAGAAAGGTACATGTCTTTGTTTTTGTTCTGTGAACATTGTTATTTTCAGTGATCTTTAGACAGGAAATGTTATGGGGAAGACTGGAAATGGATATTACGGAGTGCATCAAATGAGCATCGAAAGAGAAAGACAGCGAGAGGGAGAGAGAGAGAGCGATAGAGAGAGAGAGAGAGAGAGAGAGAGAGAGAGAGAGAGAGA